GGGCGAGGTCTTGGGGTTTTTAGGATCATGGATTTTCGATAGGTCTTCTGAAGGGTTATGCCTTATGCAATGTCGGGGCCTTATGCGGTATATTGGTATGTTGGTGTTCATGGCTACTTTGAGGCGAGCTCGATTTGTCAAGACTTCAAGCGCTGTCACGGGCACGATGTCCGATGCAGACCCCGACATGCCGGATTTCCCTTCGAAAGGAGAACCCGCTTCGCGTCGACATCCTTCAGCAGGCTGCTTGTTCTCTGAGTCCCCGGGGCTCTCGCGGTGCGAATGGCTATGCGAAGCTTTGCCAGGTGGGCACTGGGCACTTGGTGACGAAGCCTGGAGCAACCCGACTAAACACTTGGCAGTATGAGCCTCAAGCCGGCTTGATTCGGTCCTGTTGTCTTCCGTCGGAAGTGGGGGTCTCCAGCACTTATGTGTGCACGTGCTCATCCTTTAAGCCATTTCCGGAGGGTGTGTAGCCTGCGTTGGGGGTGCAGGTGCCATCCGCTGTAATCCACGGATGTAAGCCACGGATGGCAGATCATAAGCAACACTGCTAGCAGAATGCTGAAGAAGAGCGCTCCTGCCGCCAGCCTTCAGGAGTGTCAACGGTACAAAGTGACCTTTGGTGCGAGCCTGAGCGAAACTTGCACGAACAGTTGTGAGTGTACGAACCTGCAGATGCTCAAGTCCCTTTCGCAGGCGACTCTGAAGCGGAGGTGGAGCTGGAAGTAAAGAAGGTTGGAGGGATCTGTATGTTCGAAATAAGTGCCACAAGATGGATGGTCGAAGCTCCGTCAAACTCACAAACTTCCCAGACCGATGGCGATGCGGTGGCCAAGTCTTCGGACGAGTCGAAGCGAAACCAGGACGCTTCAGACAGCTGCGGTTTTGGGCTCACCCGCTCACTTCCGTGCACGCTCCCTTTGTGTGTGTTTTTTTTTTCTCTCTCTCTCTCTATCACTCTGGCCTCTCCCTCCCCGCCTCTCCCTCCCTCCCTTCCTCCCTCCCTAGCGGGTTCCTGGATGCCTTGCCATACCCTGGAAAGGATCCCGCTGCCAGTGCTAAGGGAGCGACCGGGCAGCACGAGCGCGGTGCTGTTGCTTCTAGATTCTGAACGAATACTGTACCACTCCAGTGGTCCCGAGTGCTGCGCGAATCCTCCACGTATGACCTAGGCCAAAGAGTACCTGGACAACCACGATGTCCTGCGTGTCGTGCAGGCTGCAGGGCAGATTCGCCGTAGTTGCAGTCGTTCAGCGCTTTCGATTGAACTGTCCGGGTGGAAGCCTCCGGACGGAGCGCGACAAGCTTCTCTTCATTGCTGCCTGATACAGCAGGCGGTACTCCAGGCTGTGATCAAGGAAAAGCCGGACGACCCTTACCGGTTCATGGCGAAGCGCCTTGGCGGTCGAGTTTGATAACCCTGGCCCTGGCTGCCTGCAAGGGCGACTGCTACAGAATGAAGGGCTCATGGCCTGAGCATAGTCAAACTTCAGTGATGGCAGTGGCTCTCCACTAAAATGCTATCTAACTCAGGCTCTTCACTGGAACCCTTTACGGCTCAGGCTCTTCATGAATGGCTACATCGCCGGCGGTGCTGCAGAGAGTGCGGTGCAGGCACGAGTTTGGGTGACGCCGTCAAGCGGCCAGCTGCTCCGCGGCCACCAGAGCAGTTGTTGCCGTGAGCCTGCACGCTGCGTGCCCCCCCGGACAGTGCAATTCCCCTGCAGGAGGCGCCAAAAGCCGTCCCTTGACTTGGTTGGTTGGCGCACCTTGGGTACAGATTCCCGAGGAACTGCCAAATCATGTCGTGCACCAGCATACA